AGGGGGAGGAGGAGGTTAGGGAGAAGAGACGGGGGATGAGGAATGGAGGAGGACGTCGGGCAGGAGGAGATTGCGGAAAAATAGGTTGGGGAGGAGAAAAATAGCACAAGTTGCGAATGCCCTGCAGTTACCACTACTATTAGCACTACCACTACTACTACTACTACTACTACTACTACTACTACTACTACTACTACTACTACCACCACTACTACTATATGCTGCTGCTGCTGCTGCTACTACTACTACTACTACTGTGAAAATAAACAGATTTATGTCCAGCACCAAATAACGGAGCTACTATTACTATTACTAATACTATTTATTACTGTTACATCTACGTTATGTCGAGCACAAACCTCTTGCCAAGACTGACCTCTAAAATGTCTTTACATTCTCTGAGACAACCCTCGGCCTCAGCAAAACGTTTTCTGTTGACTTCCAGAGTGCCAAGATTCATCAGCGCTAAGCCCACATTAGGATGACAGCGTCCTAATGCCCTCTCGCTGATCTCAATGGCTCTGGGGAAAAACGTATTTATCTCATACAGCGTTGGTTCAATTGAACCAATTCAGAAATATCGTGCACTGCAACTACAACACTAACCACATGACACCATACAAAGAACACTTGCAAAATGGAGAAAGAGGGGAAAGGGTGCGTGTGTGTGTGTGTGTGTGTGTGTGTGTGTGTGTGTGCGTGTTGTGTGTGTGTGTGTGTTGTGTGTGTGAGTTGTGTGTGCGTGTGTGTGTGTGTGTGTGTGTGTGTGTGTGTGTGTGTGTGTGTGTGTGTGTTTGTGTGTGTGTGTGTGTGTGTGTGCTGAAGATTTGACGCGTACTATGAGAAATCGAAAGAAGCTTTTCTGTTTAGAGGGTTTAGAGTCAAGTTGACGTGTCATCTCCCTAAGTGATTTCTGTTGTAATCTTGTCCTTTTTGCATTCCAAAAGTAGCGCACGAGCATGACTCCTAAATGTTTTCTGGCTTCTACTTACGTGAAATAAGAGTACTTCTATTTTCCTAAAACAAAAATATACGTAGTTGTTGGGTACAGCATCATTTAGATCCATGCGGTGCTGGGTTTATTGAAACCTTATCCAGTTTCGCTCAAATAAAAAAAATGCAACGAGGACAATGATTATGATTGAACAGCAAACTTTTTACGTGATTGCTATTTTGAAGCAGGTTTCTATGTAAAGTACATGTAAAAGAAAATTGTTATGTAGTGAAAAAATGATCGAGGATACATCTTATTTGTACTCATAGTATATAGCACGGAATCTAAGGGAGAGGAAGAAGTAGTGTAAAGAGAACCGAGACACCATGACAGCACTCTTTTATATTAATTGAGCCTTAAAAGGAAAGAAAAAGAAGAGTGCATATTATCATCAAACTAGTGATGATTTCGGAACAAATAAAATTGTAGAAAACAGAGTGAAAGACGGGATGCAAAAAGCTGAAGTACAACGATAAGTCATAACTCTGTCGATGAGGAGAAAAGGACAAAGCAGTAAAATTACTCCCTTAGTATGACAAATTTTAAAGGGGAGGGTTAGTCGCAGTGTTTGGTGTAACAGGAAAAGAGAAAAGGCGATATGTTATGATTTGTGCCGAAGGAAATATTCATACCATAAGAAAAAGAAAAAAAAAGATCCTAATTTCGAAAATTTGTAGTAACATTTTTACATTTGAAAGCACTATGTGCAGTTTTGCGCTTTCTAAGTTCATGGTATCTGAAATATTGCATGTCACATTTGACCGTTCTATGTCACATTTCATTTAACTACGTCAGGTTTCAACTTGCTATGTTCACGTTTGAAGGGGAAATACAAAATAACAAGCTTCCTTCAACACAGGCACGACTTTTTAAGTTTAATTCTGTCTCTGATAGAACCGATTGAATTAGGTGCAGAGCTTTAGAAATTCCCGGAACAACCTAGAAAAAAGCCACATGTTGAATTCGAACAAGACCTTAAAGGCACAATAGCCTTGTTAGATAGCAACGGAGCAATCAACTCTGCTCGACTAAAAAAGAAAATAAAGTAAGTACAGACGTGCACTAAAGTAAATTTTATACTTGTATCACAAAGTGTACTTTTGCGCATATCTATAAGTCTAGTCTATGTTGTTCTTGTAATGCAAATAGGTGGTGATAAGCAGCTTGTGTAATTCTAACCTAGCGGTTGCCAACTTATTGTATACACAGTTCACAATATTTTGCCACTGTTAAAAGGCTACAATTTTCGTACGGCCCACCTACTTGATTGTATTTTCAAGGGGGCATTAAATAACACCTCTGTCATTACCCGGGTGGTCCCTACCGCCCACAAAATTGTCAAATTACCCACTAGTGGTCGATATCACTCAGGTTGGCAAGCACTGCTCTAACCCACCAAGTCATGTGTATGTATGTGTGTGGGTGTGTGTGTATGTGTGTGTATGTGTGTATATGTGTGTGTGTGTGTGAGAGAGAGAAAGAGAGAGAGAGGAAAGAGAGAGAGAGAGAGAGAGAGAGAGAGAGAGAGAGAGAGAGAGAGAGGGGGGGGGATGGGGGTGGGATAGTAAGTTATAGTTTACAGCAAGTTTTGAACAATTTCAGAAATAGTTCCCACAGACTCAGATTGAAAACAATAATTGCCGCATGGATGAGAAAGAAAATAATTAATTAAATAATCAAATACAAATAAATACATTTAATCATTGTTATTCAGATTCTTTTACATTTCCACCTTAGTGTTGAACTATCATTGTACTTACTCACTCACATTCTCTTAGTCAATGATTGTCTGATACGTATAAGATCAACAACAACAAAATAGAGGCAACCCCCCCCCCCCTCCCCCAGGTAAAACGGAAGAGTAGACGAGGCAGATTACACAAGGCCACCCATCAACCACCCACTGGCCGAGATGTTAACATTATCAAGAGGTAAACAAAAAGACCAAAGTAAAATTTAAAATCTTGGCCAGAATGAGAAACCTGACCTCGGCTGGTCGACCTATGGATCAGATTTAACGGCTTAAGAATGACCAGGGGCTATTGGAGCTGAGACGATTAACTTCTTTGAAGCGTATAAGAAGCTAGGGTTATGACTGTGGAAGGTTTTTTCCTAAGAACATTAATGAGGCCATGCTCAATGGCTATCAACTTGATGGGTTGGCCGTTTCGCTTTTATAGGAAGAATATTTACACATTAAAATATAAAAAAAGATTAGCTAATGATTCTCATCGTTTTATCACACACACACACACATACACACACACACACACACACACACACACACACACACACACACACATATATACACACATACACACACTCACACAAACATACACACAGGCAAACGCAAACGCATAAACACAGACACAGACACACATACGCAACACACACACACACAGACGCACGCACACACACAAACATACACACACACACACACATACACACACACACACAAGCACACGCATATTGTGATGAAGTGAAAGAGAGAGGGAGAGAGAGAGGGGTGGAGAGAAAGAGGGAGAGAGAGAGGAGGGAAACAGAAAGAAAGAAAGAAAGAAAGAGAGAGAGAAAGAGAGAGAGAAAGAGAGAGAGATAGAGAGAGACAGAGAGAGAAATAGAGAGAGAGTCAAACAGAAAATATGGAACAACATAGAGAGACAGAAAGAGAGAGAAAAACAGAAAGAAAGAGAGAGACAGAAAAGAGAGAGAGAGAGAGAGAGAGAGAGAGAGAGAGAGAGAGAGAGAGACAGAGACAGAGACAGAGACAGAGACAGAGACAGAGACAGAGACAGACACTCAGACAGACACAGAAATAGAGTAGACACAGAGAGAGAGAGCGAGAGAGAGAGAGAGAGAGAGAGAGAGAGAGAGAGAGAGAGAGGAAGACGAAGGGTAAAAGAGAGAGAAAGAAAGAAATTGATAGCGAAAGAGAGAGGAAGGGCTGTACCAGCGTGTCAACTGTACTCACTTCTTGTACATCTTCTCCGCCTCATCGACTTGGCCCAAGTTCCTGTGACACACTGCGATATTGCCAAGCATTACTCCGATCACCGGAGGCAAGTTGGTGAAATAGATTTCTTCGTAGATCTGAGGAAACGGGGAACGAGCAGTTCTGTACAATAGCACAAACGCGTTATGAGAGCTGCATACAGAACGTTTTGTTGTAGATGGTAATCCCGGCATCTTTTTCAGTTTTGAAATCAAATGATTCTCAAGTCTTCTGTATTTCAATTGGGATGTTCAACATCTTAGAAGACGGACATTCCCAAGATTAGATCTAAACGAAATTAATCTTTAAAAACTGAAAATTAAACTAGTTACTTGAGACTCCGAAATAAAAATATGCACCCTTTAAATGATTCTGAACCACTGGTTGTTGTTGTTGTTTTTTGTTTCTTTGTTTGTTGTTGTTTTTTTGTTTGTTTGGTTGTTGTTTTTTTTTGGGGGGGGTTTGTTGTTGTTGTTTTTTTTGTTGTTGTTGTTGTTTTTTTTTTTGGGGGGGGGGGGGTTCAGATTAGAAAGTTAGGCGGTTACGAAGTTTTAGGCAGCTAAATTGACGAACTTTCACAAATATGATATGTATAGATTATGTATTTATGTATGTCAATGTATGCTTGCCATTGTAAACCAATGTGCCCTTCCGGGACAAATAAAAGTGTAATTTATATTATATCATATATATATATATATATATATATATATATATATATATATATATATATATATATATATATATATATATATATATATATATATATATATAAGATAATCAAATTTGTGAAATGGTATCACGTACAATATCCACACCTCTCTCGACACTTTGGTTCTTCTTCTTGTGGTCAATATCAATATTGGTCTTATTGTTGGCCTCCTTAGGTCAAGGCTCGAACTAGCATTCCAACCAAGACCACCCATAACATAGCCCAGAATTATAGTGGGTGTGTGGGGGATGCTTTGGTGTGGTTTGCTCACTCTTTCCTCTCAAACACCTATCGTCCTTATCTCCCCTTCTTCATTTTATGTTTGTTACTCTCTTGCAACAATATTGGGCACTTACATGACCTTATTCTGTTGCAAGTGCCGCAACACACTTACGAAAAAGAAAACCCAGAATTATGCCAACAGAGTTAATGGCTTTGTCTAAAAAACTTCCGTACCTTCATGGACTTAGAACAAAGCTCTAGCGCCTTCTCGTAGTTGTTGAGTTTCATGTACATGACTCCCAGATTGTGCAAGGAATCAGCTACATCTCCGCTGTTCTGGACTTCTTTCTGACTTTCCATGGCCTTTGTATAGAACTCAATAGCCTGAAAAACAAACAAAAAAAAAAACATCCATAAAGAATGCCAAGAGGTAATAGATTTTTTTTTTCATATCGCAGGTCTGTTACCAGTTTGTGGAATTTTTCTGACGTAATTATGTTTATCCACATGAATATTATGTGAGTTCGAAAAAGTTAGAGAGAGACTGAGATAGAGAGAGATAAAGAGAGAGGGGGAGAGGTAGGAGTAGAGAGACAGACAGACAGACAGACAGACAAATAGACAAAAAGAGAGGGGGAGAGTGTGAGAGAGAAAAAGAGAGAGAGAAAAGGGGGAGGGGTGACAATGTGTGCATTTGTGTCTTTGTATAGTGTGTACTATGCCTACCATACCATACATCCAGTTTAAGTTGTGGACACAGAGTAGAATTGATAATAATATGAGAAAATAAAACGTACTGACATCAGGCGGAAACAGTGACGGCCAGCAGATTACAATTTTAATGTTTGTAACCCAAGTCAATCATCGTCCTGCACTGTTATCAGTAACAATAGCAGCAGACAAAAATTAACAAAGAAGATTGTGTCAATGTAGGTAGAATCAGGCGCTTGTCATATTTGGACACATGAAGTTATTTGTGTCACCTTTAATTTTGGTAATTTATCTTGCTTTTGAGGGAAACTACTCATCTTTTTATAAATAAAAGTGGGGATATTTGCGATTGAAGAAGTTTGGTTGCCTGGTTTCAGGAGGAAAAGGAGTGAGAAAAAGGCCTTTAAAGTTTGGTGACTTCGCAAGCTAGAGTGTCCTTGGAAACTCCAAATTTACATTTGTGTACCTTTGATTAACTTGGATTCAAGAATATTACACAACGACAAGATGATTCGCTCCCAAAACAAAAGTACATGTTACCAGCGGTGGAAGTAAATACATTTCGCTTCTAATATAGAAAATGTTACTCTTTTTTTGTTTCAACTTTCTGTATGTTATGTCCTGAAATGGTACAATGTCACCGAACCCACAATGAGCACGTTAATTTCAATACACAATAACGAGTAAACATAAATGATAAACGCTATGTAGTAAGTTCTAAGTAACTTAAGCTTTGAAAATAGGAAAAGAAAACATTTTGTCACCCTCTCTGTGTTGCCCATCTTGGAGTGCAGCATGGCGATTCCGTGATAGCTCTGGCCCAGACCCTTGATAGCGTTTTCCTTCTCCTGTTTTGTCTCGGCCGCTTTTAGAATTCTATGAAAGAAAACAAACAAACAGGAATGTGTACAATCGTTCATCACAAACACACACACACTCTCTCTCTCTCTCTCTCTCTCTCTCTCTCTCTCTCTCTCTCTCTCTCTCTCTCTCTAATAATATTCACTCTCTTCCTTCACAGTTTTATGGACTTCTGTTTTAACTCTATTATGGTCTTATCGGCTAAGTGAGGTGGGAAATACCACCACAAGACAAAGTTCCAATTTTTGCAGAATTTTGTTCATAATTAATGTTGTATAGTTGAAGGAATAAGTTAGATCTAAATCTACGTGTTTTGCTGCAAGAATTTAAGTTTGATAATCAGTTACTGCTGAGCGCACATTATTGTAAAGAGGTGTTATATTGGTTAGTAACGGAGAGTCGAAATGAGTCCTATCTCTGAAACAATTACATACACAAGAAATGTTAATGAATATTCCGTATGCCTCGTTCATTGAGTAGCATTCTATTCTGTTCCTCGCTGACAAGGCATTTCTGTTCTGCTCATTGCTGATGGAAGAAAGTGTTTATTATAATACAGACTTCAACAAAAGTTAAGGACCTCTTTGACAGACAGTCCTAATTTTTTTTAAATATCAAAAAAAAAGGCAGCAAGGAATGTTTCACAATTTTTGCTCATAAACTTAAAGTGTTAAATGGGTTACCAACGCAACGCGTACTGCAAAGCCTCCTAAAGGACCAAAACCACCACGTGGAGCACGGAAATATTCGGGGAACGTTAGCCAAATTTGCTGTTTTTATCAACTTGTGTGCGACACCAAGGACTTTCCTCAGTTAAAATTTCTGGTGTGCGTCATAAACGGACGTACGGCCTCGACCTGTGCTCACTTTGGTGGCAATATAAGCTACCGTTTGCACAAAATCTGGTATCGCATCAACATACCACCAAGACGAAAGCTGAGAGACTTTGATCGTGCCAGAGCTATGGCATGGCCGGAGGTTGGAGTTGGAGCCCGAGAAATTGACAGAAGGCTTGCAGTGCCATACTCTGTCATTGTCCGCCTGAGGCAGCACCATCACTCCACTGGATCAGTCTAAAAACTTTCACGTGCAGGTCGGCCCAAGAAGACTACTCAGAGTGTTTGCAAGTGGTCCCTAACTTTTGTTGAAGTCTGTATAAAGTACGACATTGGGTCATATTTCATAATTTAATCAATAAAAATGTATAAAATAAGATAACATTAGATACATATTTATTGTCCAGATCCTGGCACATTGGTTTGATATTTCACCACGTGTACACACACACACACACACACACACACACACACACACACACACAAACACACACACAAGCGCACACACGCGCACACACATGCACACACACGTAGGCTTACAATCACATGCATAATATAAATGAGCAGCAATATAAACAATAATAATCGTAAGCTAGATACGCACTCAATGTTATTTTGATGCATGCTCTAAGGTCGTAAGTATACTTATACAAGATGGTTCAGATGGAAGCATTTTGATAGATGATGGAAAAAATGATCTTCTATATTATATGTTTCTTTGTTACAGATCAAAAGCCTAGGTCTTTTACTTTTGACTGAAATACATACATACATACATACATACATACATACATACATACATACATACATACATA